TGTTTACAACGGTGGTCATGGTTACCGTCGCGCAGCAGTGTCCGACCGTAACCAAATAATAGCTATTCACCCCTTTTTTGTCTTAATAAACGTAATTTGTTCAGGTTTGGTGTTAAATTTTGTTACTTGCATATTTACTTGTTCTTGTGTTTTTCAAAAAATTGTAAAAGTTTAAATTGGTTGTTAGCACGTACAAAAACCAATAGTGTGAGAAATACCAAACTTTAATGAAAAAATTATTGAAAAGTTTATTTCGGACAAAAGCAGAAGAATGCTCTTTCACTGTAAATAATAATCTTCAGTGCATTTTCCCTACATTTCAATGGTATTAAAATAAACTGCCCAATTATATTTGAATTTTTTTCAATACTTCGTACCTAAATTTTTCCGCTCTGTCTGGTTTGGAAGCTAAGAGCCACCACTGGTCTAGGATTATATTTTATCTAAAAACTCTTTGATTCATTCGACCCTGCTAAATTAATTTCTGAAATCTCTTTTTAACTAAACTTTGAGGGCAAGGAGATATGTAATTTTTTTTCAAATTATTTTCTCGTGGTACTAAAACCATGGCTTCTAGAATCAACCCGGGGCAAATTCGAATTTCTCGCGCTCGCCTTAATAAGCGCGGTATTCCCAAAAAGCAGTTGTTCTACCTGGTTATAACTATCGAGTAGAAATTTAATCCGTTTTTTGTATTGTTTTTTTTTTCGATTTCCTCTACTAACCTATAAAACGTTGGGAAAAAGTGACGCCACCAGCGCTTTTGGCATGTGCAAAAATAAATCCTTGGACTTTTTTATTTTGATTCCATATCCTTTGAGTTTTGGAAATTTTTCCACTCACGAAAATTTATTACTAAAAATTGTTCTTGTTTATAAAAAATCTGATAAAATTCTCATTAGGTAATTCAACCTTACTACGTTCATGTTTAATATTATATGTTTTTTTGTTGTTGTTTAAAGGCGTACGTTTTTTTTTAAATTTTTTTCTGAAAACAATTCGAGGCCAAACTGGAATTACAGAGGGGCAGGGGGATCCCCCCTCAATTGTTGCTGCATGCTGCATGTTTCAAAAAGTGTTCAGTTGAGTTCTTTTATTTTATGTTTTATGGTTTTATTTCGATTCTGATTAGTTAAAAAAGATCAGTTTGGCAGATTACGACACCTAATCTTTTATTTAAACACAAAATCACGTGTATGTACAACATATCACTGTTTTACATTCACAAAAAGATTATCTTATATACTTTTAAAATCATAAATACTTACCTATCTATAACATTGTTCAAAATCTTTACATTTACCTTTGACCCCATTACAATATGTACAACATATTTTTGGTAAACTTTCTATTTTGCTATGGCAAAAAAGAAGAGTGTTACTAATGGTACATTTTTCCACGCTAGTGACCTGATAATTTGGTTGTCCGTTAAGTGTCATTGAATATTTATGTACCCAGGAAGATGCGGTTGAGTAGCCAGTTTTTTGTAGTCTATAATGAGTTATGGACAAATGAACAGTATTGGAACAAATATCGTGTGCAGCTGTAAATGAGTGATGTAACTATTTCTGGAATCAGAATTTGTCATTGATTTCCTCTACTTCGATACTGATTTATTTTTTCAGAAAGTGTTTCTGGCCAAGGATCGAAAGAGGTTGACTGATATATTATTAAACTGAAATGATAGATTTTAAAAAATAAATGAAGAGAGATTTTAAACTTTTGGGGTTGGAAGTTTGAGGTGGAAGATGTAATCATATCTGAGGTTAAAATGTACATTGGCAATTTTTTGAAAATTCATTTTAAGGTCTATAACTTGACACTGCTGTTGGGTGTCACATTTTTGTTGGAACATATTGTAAATTAACACCTTGCATTAATATTCTCTTTTTTTTTTTTTCTTCCAGGAGATTTTTGACTGCAAGCAATAACAGAAAATATATGTTCCTAGAACCCAGGCATTGATTAAATCGTCTGGGGCTAGGGGTGTATTTTTGTAGATGCTCACATCAACTTAACCACAGACCACAGGAAAATGCAGCGCATAAATTCGTGCAAAAAGTTTAAAATGTATAATTTAATATATTTTTTTTGTCTGGCGGAAATAAATTTTTTTGTAAAAAAATTCTCCTTTGTCCCCCAAAATTTTTTTTGTGCCTAAACGGACCAACCCCCTCACCCTCCTTTCCCCCTCCACCCCCCTTAAATGAGATGACACACATTTACATTGAATAAAACGAAAAAGAAAAAATCAATAATCATCAATTATATGTTTGTGCATATTTGATTAGCCACTTTGAATTTCGTCATTCTGAATTCATAATAGTAATCAGTGATCCAAGAAAGTTTCTATAAACAAATATTTGAGGATTCCCACTAAACACGAAACGTAAATGAAACGTTGCAAATGAGATGTTTTACTAAACATTTGAAACATTAACTAGAAACGTTTCTGTTTCATTACAGAAATGTAGCACTTGAAAACTTATTTAGTGAAACATAGCCGAAACGTTACAATTGAAGAGAGTTTGAAACATTACTCGAAACATTCCCTTTCGATCTCGGAAACATAACAGACGAACAACCCTTTGCTATTTTTGCTTATCTTATGGAACATTCGGCATTCGTTAAATTTTGCTCTCAATCCCCAATCCTTCTCAAGCGTTAGTTCATTTGCCTTTGTTATATAAAGACATAATTAGAAAAAAAATGTGGTAGCATATTATAACACAAGTCTAGAAAAAATGTATGTTCGTGACTTGCGTAGAGTGCGCGTAACAGCCCGAGTTTATTTGTTTCCCGTGTGTCGTTTCAATTCGTATTATGTTAGGTTAGGTTTGCGGTTTGTCAGATTGCTTGGTTTCGTTGTTATTCATCTTTACTTTGACGCTATTTTATGTGATAATTTGTAGTGTGTGCAGTTGTGGTAATTGTAAGGTGCATATAAAATAATTAATATTGATGCAAAATGTTTAAAACGATATGTGTAGAGATTTCCAATTTTGCGTCACATCTACCTAAACATAGTTATTTATACCCACTACCTATTATAGACAAGAGGACAAGGGACAATAACTAAGAAAATGGAACATGGAACTAGGTATACGTTTCGATATAATTTGAAGAGCAACTACTTAGTCAGTGAGAACTATTTGAAATATGGATGAATCAAGTGAAATAGACGTCATTTATTTTATATTTTGTACAAATGTTTATATTTGTTTATGTGTATAGGCATGCTTAAATAAAAGAGTTTAGGTATACCTACAAATATTTACTTTGTCAAGATATCATTTTGTATCCTTATTTCTGCTGTATAATTTATTATTATTAAAAGGATATATGTAATATTGACCATGCGTAGAAGAAATTATAACTTTATATTATTTTTCAGTAATGTTATTTGCTTTTCATGTACCTACCATTTTAAGATTCATAATCATAACTAACTTTTTCTAATTATCAGTTCGTCATTGTTACCATATTCATGAAGGTCTCAACATTAGAAAATTTCCATTTCAGAAGCGTATTTGAACTATATAAAATGTGTAGCTTTTTTTAATGCTTCTGATATTGTTTTGTGATATTTTTATTTGTACGATAAATGGCAAAATTCATAATCCATATTAGAAACTTTTTTCAGTGGCTTCTCAAAAAGAAAGAAATTCTTAGTAAAAGTTGCCTCATCACCAAACTAGAAGAGCATATTTATTCTTTTTAATATACAATGTAACTTTTTTTAGTTCGAATTAAGTCATTCACAATACAAATAAAAATATCACAAAGGAGTATTAGAGATATTTAAAAAAATACTCACACTTTATACTATTTCAAAAACGCTTTTGAAATGAAAATGATCTAAAGTTGAGAGCATTATGAGAACAATATGGTAATAAAATTATTATGTTACTCAAACATTTCTGAAAATATACTGAAACATAAAACAAAAATATCGAGGGCATAAATGGAACATAAAAAGAATGTTACTGAAACCAATTTTTTGAAACGTTTCATTGGAAACGTATTTTGGGGAGGACATCTTGGGCTTCTAGAACGTTACCAGAACGTTGCATGGATTTTTTATGAAACGTTTCAAGAAAAATGGAAACGTTTCTGAAACATGTCAGAAACTGAAAAATGTTTAGTGGGTTATGAGGTCTTTTTAATTATTTTGTCCGCCATATGGAATACGTCATTTTCAATTTCGTAATTCTGCCTTCAGATTCGTAATCAGAGACTCCACCACACAAAAATTAATGCATTTTAAAGACATTTTAATTTTTTTGTCCGCCATATTGAATCCGCCATTTTGAATTTCGTGATTAGAGTCCAGATTCGTAATCATAGACCCAAAAAAACTCCATTACAAAAAAATTTATGCATTTTGAAGACATTTCAATTTTGTTGTCCGCCATATTGAATCCACCATTTTGAATTTCGTGATTCTGAGACCAGACTCGTGATCAGCGACACAAAAAACTTTTCATATATAAGATTAATAGGAATTGAACGTCTTTCGCATCTCCAAGCTTTTTAAAGATTTATGGGGGCGGAGGGAGAAAGGAGGGTGAGAAGTGTGTTCAGTGATCCCAGTTGCATACAACACCGCCGAATTTTTTGAAAATTTTCATGGACTTGTGCGTGGATTTTCTCAGAAAATTTTAGGGCTCAGAAAAATCTCAAAAATTGTGGTGGACTATAACGGTCCTAACCAATCTAAAACTGCATTCAGTTTTCAGTTTCTCTAGCTGTTTCATTGAAGTTCTTATTTGGTAGGCAACATGCAATACAAAGCTTGTATATACTTGGCTGCATAAAAATTCACAACATTTTCTGTATTTTACTGGAGTTGTCAGTTTCCTACTTGTATATTTTTTTCAGAATTAATAGGAAAAAGGCAATTCTTCGCGCAGAACTGCGAAGGATTGTAGGTAAATACATTAAAAATGAACAACACATTACGTTACATTATTATATTACAAGAAATAGATGTGATAAAACCTTTTTTAGATGAGCACTTTAATTTTTTGACTATTTTCAGGGAAAAAATTTTTAAGAAAATCGATGCACTACAGTATCGATTTTCCCAAAAATTTTTAATGTTCAGAAAAATCTGAAATAATTCCGGTAGACAATAACAGTCCTGACCGATCCAAAACTGAATTCAGTTCATCTTTAGCTCATTAATTTTTTAGAGATTTTCGATTTTTTTCCATAATGGAATGACTTGCCCAAAAACAGACCGTCCCAGCTTGTTCAGCGACCCCAGGTGCGTACGATATCGCCTTTAGATAAGCACTTTCATTTTTTGACTATTTTCATGAATCCATTGATTCTTCTACTTCATAGTCAGATGTCAGATGTAACATGTGACTGAGTTGAAGAGGAAGATGTAATAGAAATTAACGGAGAACCGCTTTTTCCTGATGGCCTACAACAAAAACTTATTGCGCACAAACAAATTTAAAATAAAAAATATTAACTTACACTTCATGTGGTAATTTTAATGGTGATGTTGCAACAGAACTGGTCACTGATATTGTGTTTACTCCAGATGATCTCGTCTTTTTTTTAATTTCCACTTGAATACCTTTATCTTCCGTTACTGCTTTAATATGCACTTGAACAGCTTTATGGCTCTGTTGAATGTGACTGAAAGGAGTTTCTGTAATTACTTGCAAATTTGGCTCCAGAAATTCTGATTTTTTTTTCTTTTTGGCAGGGAGACATTGTAATTGCTTCTCATTTAGTGGTTCTTGGACATATAAATTGAGATGGGGAACTGCGTCCTTCTTCATTCTTATCGAGCAATTCATCAATTTGAACTTTATCCAATTTTCGCAATCTTGTTCCATCTGCATTAATAAACATTTTTTGGTTGCCAGGTATGTTGAATAATATCTTTTACAAACAATGTAAAACTTACGTTAAAGTGGTCTTCGCAGCAATAAATTCTTGAAGTGCTTGATAGAATATTTCTTCTGTCCACAGCCAAACACCAATTTTTTCTAATTGTTCCATTGCTAGGAACAGCTATGAAAATTTTCTTCGAATTGAAATTTGTATTTTTACAGGATGTAATAAAACATTTTCGAAAATCCATGTTTCACTGTCTGAAATGTGTAATACAGAAATAAGATTTTAAACAAATAAAATATCAATTATCACATAAACTTACCTTTAAATGAAAAAAAAAGGAGCTGTTTGGAAATTTACAATACACGCTGTTACAAATTCGCTTCTCACTACAGGGATCTCGGAAACGGTAAGAGGTACGAAGTAGCTTAAATGGGGGCGAAGTTGCGTAATCAGGGAACCAATATTATGCCTCTAAAAAATCAAGTAAGTGTCGTTAGACCCTGTGAAATCCATATAATTATTTAAACTATTACCACCACGCATTAAAATAAAAAATTATTTTAGAGTTTTATTCCCGTGTCCATAGTTATTTCTAGGTTTCTCGAGTGTTCAAAATTCAAACAAATTCTGATCTATTTTTTCAGGATATTCATACAAATACATCTGACATGCTGTTTCACAGTTGCGGTTATACAGATATAATAAATTTCGATAATATTACGCTGATCTTCAATTTCAACCTTTGCCAAAACGAAAATGTTTTTGAACATCTACTGAAATTGTTTAAATAATAATATTCAGTTGGCGTTTTGGTTATTAATTATTATTTAATTTGTCATAATAAATAAATTATAATTGTAATAATGTTTTAATTTTGACGCAATAACTTGTTGAGTGATGGTAATAGTTAATAATAATAAATGTTTTATTGTAACACGTGGTGGTAATAGTTTAAGTAACTAGATGGATTTCACAGAATCTAACGACACTTACAGTGTACAATAATTCAATAAACAAAGAAATCTAAATAAAAAATTTAAATAAATTTGGAATGGCTTCCAAAAAATGTAATATAATTTCTAGGGTCGTATTTAAAAAATGAAGTTGATGATGGTCCTGGAGAGACAGAACGTTACATATAAAAATTGATTATATCATTCGATAGAGGGCAAAAAGTGGCCATGAAAAAGTGTTCTTCTTTTTTCAATATCACCTCAAACAAGGCTGAAATGAAACAAAAACGGATTTCCAAAATTTTTTTTCAAATATTTGAAAACTAATCATGTTAGCCTTGATTTTTTAGAGGCATAATGTTGGTCCCCTGATTACGCAACTTTGCCCCCATTTAAGCTACTTCGTACCTCTTACCGTTTCCGAGATCCCTGTAGTGAAAAGCGAATTTGTAACAGCCTGTATACTTATCAGTTGTCACTGCCACAAGTGCCACACTCACTATACTACTAAATTTGTGATATTAACCTAAAATTATAAAGTATCAAAACTGTCGTGAATCATGATGTCAAATCGTTTTCTGGTATTTTGATTTTGTATATGTCTCGATTGCGCATGTATACGAGTTGACGTCACTGCGAGAGATGGGACAGAAAATGTTTAAATTTTATTTTGATATTGTTGCTTTGTGATCCATAATTTCTGAAAAGCAAATATATAAGCTTTACTACTGAAAAATAATAGCAAATTCAATTTTTGGAATCTAAGGTTATATCGGCTCTGACCAATCTAAAACTGCATTTAGTTCCTCTCTAGCTTTTCCAGTTTTCGACCTTTTCGATTTTTTTCTCGATGGAAACATAGAAAGCAACCATCACTTTTGAAAAGCATTTGATTTTTTGAAAATTTTCGTCCTATTTAAATATACATCATTCCAATAAAAGTTTCCTTTAGTGAAATGGAACGGTCACATGCAGGGTTGCCAATGGTTCCCGAATGAAATACCCGTTTCAGGATTCGCCATTATCCACAAATACCCACATTACAATTTTTTACAGGGCGGCACATATAAAATAAATAATCGATCTTTATTATATTATTTCAAACCAGAATTAAAATAACACAAAGGATGTATACGGTTTTTTTATTCGTTTTAAAATGGCATGTTTAATCGAAATGGTACGTTATTAACTGCCAGTAGTCCATATAATTTAAGTTCAGCCCTTTTGGAAAATTCTTTAATGCGTTTTGTCATAAATCATTTATTTTGTTATTCGATTTAATTTGTTTAACATTATTTTTATGTTTTTCTGAAGACTGATGTCATTAATTGCCCATAAAATGATCTATATCAACATGTCTTCTGAAAAACATAAAAATAATGTTAACTGGGCTACTCGTAGCATAGCACAGGGTCACAAGTCAAGAAACAAGAAGGCACATATTAATTAGTGAACGGGCGGACTGACGGCTGTCCTGGAGGCTTTCGTTTTGGCAAAAATAGTACCTATTATCAACTAATATCAGTTCA